GAAAAAATATCCTCCCTCTGGGAACCCTTTGCCAACTTTTGGTTTCTCATTGTCTGTGGGGAATCTCAGAATTCCCATAGAGCTGACATGGAGCTAAGCAGTTTGCTGCTGAGGGGATGGAAGTCTAGGTGAGCTAAGAGTTTTTTCTCCCAAGTTAACAGGAAGCTGACTCAATATTTGGGAATTCCTCATAACTTTTGCAACAGTGGAGAATGAAGGAACGTGTGGAAACTTGGTCTTAGAAGAATGAAATTTTTGGTTAGTTCTGTTGTATGTATGTATATGTCATTCTATCTATATATGTGGATTGTTGATCTGTATGTAGGTATTTCTTTCTAAGGCTGCTAGGTGACATGGTGGATAGAATGCCAAGCCTGGAGTCAGGAAAACTCATCTTCATGAGTTCAAACCTGGCCTCAGACATTTAACTGTTGTGTGACTCTGGGGCAAGTCAGTTTGCCTCAGTTTCCTCATCTGTATAATGATCTGGAGAAGGAAATGGCAAACCACACTCCAGTATCTTTGCCAAGAAAACCCCGAATGGGGTCACGAAGAGTTGGACACAACTGAAAATGACAGCAATAACAAAATTTCTTTCTACTTACATATGTGAAATGAAGTCCTCAACACTAGGGGAATGCAATTAGACACATTATCCTTTCTTAATTCCACATGGTCCCTTTTGATACCACGGAATTTTCAGGAAACTGCATGACCACAATGAATATTGATTATTTACTTGCTTCTCTTTAAATTTTAGCTGTATTGGTTTTATTTGTGTAAAAATATTAATATATAATCAAAATTGTCCTTTTTATTTATCTGTGATGTTCTATATCCCTGCTAGGTCTACTCTTTCCCTATCCATAAATCTGACAGATAATTTCTTCCTTACTCCTAATTTGTTTATGATGTCATACTTTATATCTAAGTCATGTTTCCATGTGGTGCTTATGTTGACATACAGTGTGAGATTGATTTAGCATTTTTCCATGGTTTTTATTGAATAGTGAGTTCTTACCTTAGTAGTTGGACTCTTTAGGCTTTTCAAACACTAGGCTGCTGTGCTTGTTTGTTTCTACATATTGTGTATCTAATATGTTTCACTTATAAAAATTAAACACAAAATAGAAATCCAGAAAGTCAAAGAAGAGACTAACAAAATTGAAAACAAAAAACCAATTAAATCAGTAAAACCAGGTTTTAAAAAGTAATAAAATAAACCATTGATTAATTTATTTTTAAAAAGGAGGAAAACAAAATTACTATTGTGAAAAAATGAAAGGTGAATTACCACCAAATAAGGAAGAAATAATGAGAAATATTAGCATTTTTGGCGTAATTATATGCTAATTAAACTGGCAGTCTAAATAAAATGGTTAAATATTTACAAAAATATAAGAGCCCCAGGTAAACAGAACAAGAGGTTTTTAGTGAACAAGCCCTGAATGAGCTCCCAAAAGAGGGGAAACACCAAGAACAGATGGATTTACAAATGAACTCTATTAAACAATTTTTTTTTAAAGTGAGGCAATTGGGGTTAAGTGACTTGCCCAGAATCACACAGCTAGGAAGTATTATGTGTCTGAGGCCGGATTTGAACTCAGGTCCTCCTGACTCCAGGGCCGGTGCTCTATCCACTGCGCCACCTAGCTGCCCCTCTATTAAACATTTTAAAAAAGTATCAATTCCAATATTATAAAAGTTATTTTAAAAAAAAGAAAAAGGAAGAGATCCTATCAAATTCTTTTTTATGGTATAAGTATGGTCTTTGGTACTAAACCAGGGAGAATAAAAACAGAGAAAGAAGCCTATAGAGTAGTATCCATAATGAATCTCAGTTAGAAAATTTTAAGTATTTTATTAACAAGAAGACTACTGCAATATATCAGAAAGATTACACACTTTGACAAGGTTGGATTTATACTAGAAATGCAGGGTTGGTTCGATATTAGGAGACATAATTGACCATATTGGTAACAGCAACAAAAATTATGATTTTATCAATAGATGCAGAAATAGTTTTTGGTCAGCTATAACCCATTCCTATTAAAAACACTTGGAAGCATAAAAATAAGTGATTCTTTCCTTAATTTAATAAATATTATCTATCTAAAACCGAGAGCCAGCACTATGTAGTGTGAGGATAAACTAGAGGCCTTTCTAGTGAGGTCAGGGGTAAAGCAAGGATATCCATTATCACTTTTATTATTTGCTAGAAATTCTAGCTATGATAATAAGACAAGAAAACTAAATTGTCGAATAAGCATAGCCAAAGAATCAGTCAAACATTTATTAAGCGCCTGCTAGGTGCCAGGCACTTTCAGTATGGGGAATACAAAAAGAGACAAAAGATAGTCCTTGCCTTCAAGGAGCTTACAAGAGGAAACAAAATATTGGTTTTTGCAGTTGCTGTGATGGTTTACTTATAGGATACTGGACAGTCAACTGAAAAATTAATTGAAATAATTAACTTGAATAAAATTGATATAAAATAAACTCACATAAATCGTTAGAATTTTTGTATATTACCAGCGAAACCCGGAAGAAAGATACAGAAAGAGAAATTCCATTTAAAAAACTATAAACTGTATAAAATAACTTGGAAATCTAATCTTCCTACATAGGAATTATATGAATACAATTACAAAGCACTCTTACACAAATAAAGACAGTTCTAAATAATTGGGGAATATTCAGTTTGTGGGAATAGATTGGGCCAATAGAATAAAAATGACAATAGTACTTAATTTGTTCACAGCCATACCAATCAAACTACTAAAAGATTGCTTTATAGAGGTAGAAACATAATAAATATGAGATGGACAATAAAAATATGAGTTTTTATTTTCACAGTTCTAATGTTATTGTTTAGATCTGGCAAACAACATGATGGGGCAGAATTTTGTGGCTTAGAGTGAATATCTCAAGGTGACAGTGGATGGCCATTTCTTGCTAGGCCAAGTGGACCACAGGTTCACAATTGGAAGAAAATAATATACTGTTCATTTGTTGGTTAACAAAAGGAGGTTTCCTTAGCCATAGGAAGAGAAAGGCATTCTCATTGGAAAGTACAAAGAAAAAGCCTGCATTCAGATGAGCATAGTTCTCCTGTTTCAGTGTTAGTCATTCTTAAGTAGTCTATAACCAGTCCCATTTTGGTATTTTGGTATTTTAGGCAGTTCCTTGGATAAAGTGCCAGGCCTGGAGTCAGGAAAGACTTATCTCCCTGAGTGCAAATGTAGCCTCTCACACTATCTATGTGACCCTGAACAAGTCACTTAACCCTGTTTGCCTCTGTTTCCTGATCTGTAAAATGAGCTGGAGAAGGAAATGGCAAATCACTCCAGTGTCTTTGCCAAGGAAGCCCCAAATGGGGTTATGAAGAGTCTGGCACAACTGAAATGTCTCTTGGACCAACAAAAAAGGACTGCGAGAACTTTCCATGTAGCTGAAACCTTCCATATGTGTTATATCCTCTTTTATAATGTTAGCTCCTTGAGGGCAGGGATTGTCTTTTTTTCTGTATCCTCATTGTTTAGCACAGTACTTTTGCACATAATAAGCACTTCACAAATGCTTTATTCATTTGTTAATTTGTATAATGAATTATGTGGATAGGGGGAGTAGTTCTGGTATTGTGTATATTTGTTAGGGACTGAGGTGGGGTTAATTTAGGGATAACTTCCTAGAGGATGGAGGTTTTATTTTTTTGTTTTGTTATTATTTTTTGGTGAGGTAATCAGAGTTAAGTGACTTGCTCAGGGTCACACAGGGCTTTAAATTTTTTAAATCAAATTTATGGGAAGGATATAATGTGGCAATGCCTGTCTTCATTTGAAGAATAACATAACTGCATGTTTAATTTTTCTGTTAAAGTACTTTTTTATAGTTAATTTTTTCCGTATTAACGCATATACAGTTATAAGGCGAATTTTGCCTGTTGCGCGATCAACTAAGAAGGAGGTTGGGGAGAGATAAAGTGGTGTAGTGAAAGAGAATGATGAACATGTAGTCTAGGAACTAGATTAGAATTCTAGACTTTGTTCTTTACCACCTGCATGGGTTACATTTTGGACTGCTAGGCCTCGGTCTCTTTTTCTTCATTTATAAAATGAAGGCATGAGATTAGTCAATTTTTAAGTTCTAAATCTGAGATGTGATTAGACTTGAGGGCTAACTTTGGCCCTCCTCATTCAAAAAGGGTCATAAGGAAGAACAGGTCCCAAGAAGACCATCATTCCTTAGAATGAGAATTAGAAGAATTAGGCACTCAGGTTGAGAGTTTGGAAAGCATTGTATTTGATCTAATTGGGATAGGGAAGGGTAGGTGTTAGAGTTGTGATAAGTTCAAAGTAATGGAGATGGAAAATAACTTTGCAAGAGAAGAGAGAGGATGTCCAGAAGAAAGAAATGGCAGTAATTTTGGTATGATAAAACCTTGAGATGGAGAGAAAGGTGTAGATTCAGTTATTTTGTAGGGGAGAAAATCCTATTGTTTGGCAAATGAATAAATACATGTAGAAAGCAGAAGTGAGAAATTCTGAATCCAATGAAGATCTTTACCTTTCCTGTCGCTTTTAGAGACTTGTGTAAAGGTTGTCTTTCCTTTTGGGTCATAGTTGTGACATTTGTGGTTTCTAAGTGCAAAAAACAGTAGTTCCCTAGTAACTGTGACAATCAAGCAGACTCTTATCTTCTTATTTGATGTCTTTAACTTTATTGGGAATTGTTGGTTGTCTATTTTGAATCCCTAGCTAGTTAAGCTACTAGTTAGTTATGCTGTAGAAAAGGATTGAGTAACAGCTCTGGGAGGGGGGAAAAAAAGGAAAATAAAACATTTTCCTTTGCCCTGACTAGTGATTTGTTTTTTGTTTATTAGTCCAGATGCCTGGCTAGTAAATATTCTGCATACCTACCCTTCAAAAATTCCTTGTGTATGAATTAGAATGATACTGAATTTTTAGCTCTTTTCTTTTTTTCTTTTTTTTTTGCCCTAGGTCCAGCAAGACTATGAATCTCTGTTCCAAATGCTTTGCTGGTAAGTGCAGTAAAAGGAGTTTTGTTTTGTTTTGTTTTTGTTTTTTAATTTGTTGTTTTTAGACAATTTAAGTCATATGGTTGGCACCTCCTTTGGGTATATGCATGGGGTTTTGTTTTCTTAGTGTTTTGTGTGAAATCAGATTCTCCTCACTTTGGTGCTTCATTTATTTGCTTAGTATTGTTGAAACAGTCTACAATGTGTATAATGTAAGATCCTCTTACAAGTTTTACTCAGTAGAGTTTATAGATGTCTGATATAACCTTGAACTGTAAAACTCTAGTTTTAATATCGCAATATTTTCAGTCCTTCATCCTAGTTTGAATAATTAACTCCTTAATGAGGAATGTTGCCTTCCCTCATAATAACTCAATATAAATGATTTTGTAATCTGTAAGACTTTGATGTTTCAAATTCTGGAGTAAACACCATAATGAAATTTACTTTCCGTGGTTGTTCCAATTGAATTTAAGTGAGTAGATTTTCTGCTGACTTATTGTATTATATGATCATGAGCAAGTGATTTTCCTTCTCTGGGTCATTTTCCTTGTTTATTAAAAAAAGGGACTTGGATAAGAGTTCCTTTAAGGTTCCTTTAAGTTCTAAAACTATCACCAAGGAGGCCTTCATATCCAATGTTGTTAACCTAAGAGAGTCTCATTGGACTAAAATTAATTTCCTTTTTCTGCCACTTCATTTTCACGTACTTTTAGTTGTATTTTTTTGGACTCCCCATAAGAAAATAATTTCGGTATTCCATTGTAACCTTGGAACCTCTAGAAGTCAGTTTGTCAATAATTCTTTATTAAGCATCAACTTTGTGCCAGGCACTGTGCTAAGTGCTAGGAATGCACAGAAGGGCAAAAGACAGTTCACTCCTTCAAGCCTTACAATCTAATGGGGTAGACAACAAGGGAACAAATTTATACAAATAAGTCATATACAGGATAAATGGAAACTAATTGAAAGAGGGGTGACACTGTTGGGAAAGGTTTCCTGTAGAAGATTTTGATTGGGACTTGAAGGAAGCCTGGGAAGCCAGGAGGTAGAGATGTGGAAGGAAAGCATTCCAGACATGGAGGGTAGCCAAAGAAAATTCCTGGAACTGAGAGATAGAGTGCCTTATTTGTGGAACAGTTAAGAGGCTTGTGTCACTGGATTGAAGCACATATATTTGGGAGCAAGGTGTAAAAAGACAGGTAAGGAGGAAGCTAGGTTGTGAAGGGCTTTGAATAGCAAATAGAGAATTTTGTATTTGATCTTGGAGGAGTTAGGGAGTCAGTGGAGTTGATTGAGTAGGGGAGTAACATGGTTGGATCTGTGATTTAGGCAAATCACTTTGTGGCAGAATGGAGGATGGATCGGAATAGGGAGAGACTTGAGGCAGATAGATCCACCAGCAGGCTGTTGCAATAGTCCAGGCATGAGGTGATGAGGGTCTACACCAGGGTGATGGCAGTATCATAGAGAAGGGGGGATAGTAGAGAAATGTTACAAAGGTGAAATTGACAGACATTGGCCACAGGTTGGGTATGGGAGTGGAGGGTGAGAATGTGAGGAATTGAAAAATGACACCTAGGTTGAGATGCTGAGGGACTCAGGATGTTGGCACCCTCAATGATGAAGTAGGGATGGTTTGAGTGAAAGATAATGAACTTAGTTTTGGATATATCGAGTTTACAATGTCTACTGCACATGTAGTTTGAAATTTCTGAAAGGCAGTTAGAGACTTGAGGCTAGAGATCAGCAGAGCATGCTAGATAGGTAGATGGAGGGAGAAGAGAAAAAAACGAGGACCCAGGAGAGAGCCCTGTGAGATATCTATCATTAGATACAGTGTACCTGAATGAGGATTGATCAGAGGGGAGACCAAGTAGCAAAGGAGTGCTCTGATAGGTAGGAGGAGAACCAGGAAAGAGTGGTGTCCCAGAAATTCATAGAGAAGAGAGTTTCAAAGAGGAGGGTGGTCAACGTGTCAAATAGTGCAGAGGAGTCATGAAGAATGTTTGATTAGAAGTCTGATAATATATCAAGGGTCAGCTAGCTAGGTGGCACTGCTGGGCTTGGGGTCAGGAAGAGCTGAGTTCAAATGTGGCTTCAAACACTTACTAGCTGTGCAATTCTGGGCAAGTCACTTAACCCTGTTTGCCTCAATTTCCTCATGTGTAAAATGAGCTGGAGAAGGAAATGGCAAATGACTCCAGTATCTTTGCCAAGAAAACTCTAAATGAGGTTATGAAGAGTCAGCTATGATTGGAAAACTATTGAACACAATATACCATGGTGAGTGTAGTAAAAGTTGACACTTTAAACCTGCTGAAATTTTGGGAATTTTTAAGTGGTGTATTACCATTTCCTGAAGAAAAATTCTTTGCTAACTTTCACACTAGATACAATAGTTGCTCACTTTCTGATGTTTCACGTAAGTGTAATTATATTTTTTGGAACCTGAACACATAAGTTACAAATGTAAATAAATGGTTTTCCCACTGATAATAGACTTTAACTTTGAATATTTTTTTTTATGTTGAAACTTTGCTTTGGAAGACTTGTTTTCTAAGACACTGTTCTTTATTTCTATGAACGTGGCTTTTGGAAAAGTCAGTTACTTCTGAATAATTTAATCTGCTATAAGTTCTCTAAATTAGAGTTAGTGTTGGTCATTATTGAAACAGGTCAAAAACTTTAAATTCATGGTTTTTTTTAGAAAAACTATTGTAGTTTGGATTTTTTTTACCTTTTGGTTTGGTTGTTCCTTGTTTCCTCTTTAGGCTCCAGATCTTTATAGTCTTGGAAGTTTTGTGGCACTTGTTGACTTCTCGAATTTTCTTTGATGCCTTTGTTCTTTAGAATTTTAAGGGAGTCATCTTCAGTCTAGAGGGAGAAGTTCCATGTGTGTTCCCTGCATACATACAAGTGCCATTTCTCCCCTCGCCCGCATTCTCTTGAATTTAGAAACCTGAGGAGAGAAAGAACAGTAGTGAACTTGAAAATCTCATTTGGTGAGTTTGTCAGAGTAAGCAGTAGGAAACAATAAGAATTAATTCTGAAACACTGTAGTGGAGAATAGGTTACTTTTATCAAACTCCAAACCACTGATAATAATTTGAAATACTTTAAATGTGTGTTGTTAAATTAAGGTAAAATGGAAAGTTGCTTAAAAATAAATGAAACTTCATGTGATAGTGTTGAGTTAGATCTGTGAAATTTCTTTTGAAAGTAAATTTATACAGTAGAAATACATAGTTTGGACATGATATTTTTGGATAACAGTGAGTGAAATGTGGAGCAGAGAAATATATTCACTGTTCTTTGTGAGATAGTGGGTTAGACCATTGCAGGAGCACAAGTGACTAGTTTGTCAGGCTCACTTTCAGCAGGGAGGAAGGAAAGGATGAAACTTTCTGATCTAATAATGTTCTCTTGAATAGAGAACACCTTCCCAAAGTTAATGCCAATCCAGCCATTTTCTTTTGTTATCATTGATCACTGGTATCTCTGTGTGTTACTTGGAGAGGAAGAGTGCAATAAAAAGGGACAAGGGTAGGCAGACTTAGTTGTTTTTTAAAAGAACTGGTGAAAAAATGATTGGGAAGTGGAACCCCAGCAACTAGTTTCCCTCAGCAGCCCATTTCCTACATAGGAGTGTCCAGTGCTGGCTCTTCCATTGACTTTGGAGAAAATAAGGATTTGTCATGGCTGTAGCCTACCACAGGCTTGAAAGGAAACTTGTGACTCGTTTTTAAATGTCCTTACCTGCCCTGAGGCTGACTTTTTTCCAGATTCTAGGATATGTTGATCTCTCTCTCAGGTCCAACTTCTCAGTTGTCTTCTTTGGCTACCCTGAGCTTGAAAATTGCTTTTTGACTTCTTGGACTTGACCATGGGAAGTTCCCAGATTGGCGCCTGTTCTCTTTAAGTAATGAAGCCGCTGGACTTCATTTGGGGGTTACCTATATAACTTTATGGTTTTGTGTGTGTGTGTGTGTGTTTTGTGTGTGTGTGAGAGAGAGAGAGAGAGAGAGAGAGAGAGAGAGAGAGAGAGAGAGAGAGAGAGAAAGATCTTTAAAGAGCTTTGTATTTTAGAGTATTATCCTGAAAATATTTCTGTGCCAAAATTCTCCAGGAAATTCTGAAGTAGTCTAGATAAATCAATTTAATCACTTCTTGAAGTTCATGATTTTGTTTCCTCCTGTGAGGTAATGAGTAGATGATAAATACTGCTGTAGGATACGACTGAGATCAGTTAATTTTCCTAAAAGCTAATTTTCATATTTCTTTTCCTCCTGTCATTGTTTAATTTCTCCTTCCTCTTCCTTTCTCAACCCACTTTTCACAATCCTTCCCCAGGTTCCTCCCTCGCAAAATCATACTTTTACATACTTCTTGGGAAAACTGTCTTAGGAACTTAGTGGGTACCTCTCTCAGAACCAAGATTAATCCTAGAAAAGAGGCAAGAATCACCCAAAGCCTATGCAAGGATTCTTCAGACTGTTGGGATAGTTTTGTGTGTGGACTTAAAACAAACATGAAGACAATAAAACCTTTTTAATTCAGGTGCCTCTGAATTGAAATTTGTAATAATTTGGGCTGTGACTGACTTTGCCATGATACTGCTTTAGAAAAAAAACTTATTTTGCACAGAATTATGGAGAATTTTTAACAGTATTAAAGGCAATAAATTGTTTTGTAGTATCTGTTCTCCAGAAGTACCCATTTATAAATATAAGCAATGTACTTACTGCAAAATCTGCCTTTTAATTTATTATCCTAGGTTGTTTTTCAGTCCAGTCAGACCCTTCATGATCCTGTTGGGTTTTTCTTTGCAAAATACTAGAGTGGTTAGCCATTTCCTTTTCCAGCTCATTTTTACAGATGAAGAAACTGAGGCAAATTGGATTAAGTGGCTTGCCCAGGGTCATATATAGCTATTAAATGTCTGAGACAAGTTGTTTATTTTATATTACTGATATTTTTTGTCTTAAAACTACCCTAATTTT